CCTTCTTTTTCCCCCTTAAACCCCCCCCCCCCCGTTCCTTCCCCCCCCCCCCTCCACATTTGATGTGCTTTTTCTTCTTCGTCTTCCAGCTATCAGCCTACATTTTTATGTCACACACTGAACCTCACCTAGCCTTTTGTTCAAGCCAAATGAGAAATCCCTTTTTTCCAAAGCCACAAATTTGCTGACCGACAGGTCCCTTTGTAGTCATCCCCCATGTTTTTCCATCCCTCCTTCATTGCTGAGCAGCCATTCAGTCATTTCTAAGAAGCTCCATTAAAAATGCATGCATGTTTTGTTGGCAGGGCCTATGTTAGATTGAATGAATTCCTCAGGTAGGAGAGGAAGTCATGTACAGAACAAAGTCAGATTCATTGTGCTCTTTATCTCACAGCGAGAACGGCGATAATATGTTTAGTGTTATCTCGGGCACCTGGGAGATTGCAATTATGCAGTAGTGAGGAGTGAGTCCCGTCGAGTGGCGCTTGGGCTTTGGCGCAGCCAGTAGCTACATTTTTAGATTCATTAGTTACTCACTGCTGTCTGTCACAATGACTGATGCTGTTTTCAATTATTCAATTGGCACCAAATCTCACTAAACAAACGGAAGTGTTTGGGTGTTCCTGCTGAATGCAGATTTAGGTAATTATCATGTTCTGTTGTGAGTTATAGTTCATTTTTTTCATATTTGAAATTGTTTTGACAAAGGATTAGGTTTGTTTGAGAGATTGAAATCCAACCAGCAAGTTTGCAAGGTCTCTTTTTTTTTAGTATCTACTATGGTCCCCTTCATCCGGTCTGTCATGGCTTTTCTTTTTCCTCCCATAAACCACCTCCCATGTTAAAGGGATAGTTAATCTAAAAATGAAAATTCTGTCAAAATTTGCTCATCCTCATGTCAACTAGTATGATATTCTATGTAACATAAAAGGAGATGTTTAGCAGAATGGTCACACTGTTATTTTCTGTACAATGAAAGCAAAAGTTGATCAGAGGCTGTCATGGTTAAAAAAGTAGCAAGCCATGTAACTTTTATCTACTTTTTGTGTTGATTTTTGTCCTCATTGTTGTCCTATTCGGAGCCTCGAAAATCCTTGGTCACTATTCACTTTTATTGTAAGGAAAATGAGCATGTCATTTTGCTTTCTAAGGAAAAATTTTAATCATACAGGTCTATGTTATTATAGTTTTGAATTTTTAATAAAGTTTAAATTTTTAAAAAAACATTACAAAACATAAATTTTTCTTTGTTTTCATTTCATTTTTAATTTTAGCTTAATTTTAGTTTTTTTTTTATTTTTTTTTTATTAATATTTTTGGAGGCCTAGAATAGTGAAATGTGTTATATGGAGGCACTTTTATGTTTAAAGGGGTCCTATTATGCTATTTTACAAAGTCTTGATTTTGTTTTGGGGGTGTACTAGAACATGCTCTCATGCTTGGTGGTTCGAAAAACGCATTATTTTTCACATAATTTACATTATTAAAATACCTTTCTCCCCAGGCAGGCACAAACGGCTCGATTAGTTCCGGCTTTGATGAAGGTCCGCCTTCCGAAGAACAAAATGTGTTGTGATTGGTTAGCTGTCCCAGTGCGTTGTGATTGGAGAACAGCTTAGACCGTGTTTCAGTACTGCCCCGTCTCTTGCTCTGTCTTTCAACAAAAGCTTTTGGGAATCCGGCACTTCTCACTCGTGATGTG